GCTACAACAACGACCACTTGCGACTATTTGTTCTCAATCTTAAAGGCAATTTCCGCGACCACAGTTCATAGGTAATACAGTTCAAAAATAGAATTGCCGTGTGTTTGTTGACTTATGAAGAAGAAGGAAGCACGAAAAACCTGCTTGACCATCGTGCACGGTTATGAGAACCTAGCCTTAGTTTATCGCGGAACGTGCCTTTAACTTGAGCTACCACAAACGAGGATCAGCGGGTGCTATGCTAGATTTCCCCCCCCTGACCCTTCCAAGAGAGACGGGCAAATTTTGAAAGCAGATTTGAGTTCAGCGTCCCGAGACGTACACGTCGATATGCATCCCATCTTGAATGGCCATGGCGACCTGTTGACCTTCCCTGGTAGTAAATATTCCACCTAGAAACCTTGCGAGCGACAGCAATATTAGCAAACTAAACCATGATGTTGGATTTTGTCAAAAGAGAAGGCGTTGAGCAGTCTATTCGTTGAATACACATATCCATTACGTATGAACCAAATCCACTTTATTTTGCAGGATTCATCATGGTCCGTGAATATTACCGTAGGAATTACTGACAATGGTATGCAGTACGTGAGTTGCCCAATTTGTCTTTACTAGCAGTATAAACACATACCTAGTCCACTTTCTAAACTCAATCAACTCCTTTTACAGTGAAATCCCTACACCCGGGCAAATCGTAGCGGCAAATCGTACGACTTCCGCTTCAACAACGATGACCTCCGTTGACTCACGTCTTCAACGCTCAACTCATTTACTCGTGTATATGAAAGAAACGCTCAATATAGATTTAATCACATATCTGACCGAAATTATTTATTTGGTAATATTTAATAAAAATTGTAAATCAAGAAGTGATTCCATTTCTTAAATAACTTCTATTTCCCTATACAAAACTGTTTGAAGAGATCATCAAGAATCTGTTCGCTGACTGTGGAACCGACCATTTGGCCGAATATGTCGAGAGCTTGTTGAAGGTGATCGCAGAAGAGGGCTGTATCTCGCACCGACAGCGCATTCTCCAGCTCCTCACGGGCCTCACTTAATACGAAAGTGTGCACAAAAAAAATGCTCAAAAAAGAATCACATATCAAAAGACTGCTGAATTATGGGCAAAAGCCTTGACCCCAGGCGGGACTCAAACCAGACTCCATGCCTTCCCAGCGAGTACGCTATCCGTCACGCCACCCAGGGCCCCCACAGCGCTACAGCACTGACACGTTTACGTGGTGAGCTGTTCCAGGGTATATTGCGAGGTAATTAAGTGGGTGTAGAAACATGCAGAGACCCACAAACAGGGCACAGCATCGTTGTGTGAAACAAGGGGGGGGGGTCATATGTGGCTTCGAAAGAAATTCGCCGCGATGGCAAAATTTCCTTGTTTTCCCTCAACGTGGACTGAGGCTCGCATGCGGCTACCGTGAACCTCGAAACACTTTTCATAAGTTTACTCCCACTTCGTCCACAGCTTGAGTTACGCAACCACCCCTTTCTCAGTTAACCCACTTGGAATCCTTCTGATGGAAAAAATGGGAAAATGATAAGGCTCAGGTAGTCTCCTACATACCTTAACAGCTGCGTATCCGTCATACACGGTCCACTATCATCTGGACACAAATTATTCACCAACTTCTCAAGGGAATTCAACAACGGTCGGGCACCTGAAACAAATTGTTAGTAGAAGTGTGAATTGGAATCATATATAGCAGAATATGCACAAACAGCAGCTGTGGGCGAACCAGGTACAAAGGCCAGCATTTATAGTCCGCGACATTGGTGATTTAAGTGCGCGAATCGAGCGATTAACTCGCGTGAATCGAAGAAATTGCGATTTCGTGATTGGCGGCGAAGAGCGTTCGCCATGATTTTTGCTTCCTCACGCACCGACTGGATGTCGGATGTTTCGGACCACTCTTCATCCACAACATGCGGAATGTGCCATGGCAGAAATCTCGCAGAGAACAACGTGAATGGGAAGCTGCCCATCGGCCAGGTGAAGCGAACAACCAAACATGACAGGACGTAGATAAGTAGAGCGCTAGGCGTATAGCGGGACAGTTCGAGTGTGCTGATTTGCCTCAGGGTGGAGTCTAAAAAGGCCACTACCTCCAACCTCACTTGGACGCACAGTGTGATGGGAGTGGCACAGTCCCTCAGCTGTGGACCCGCTCCTCACATATGGGAAAAATCAGGATTCGGGACTGTTACTTACCGTATCTTTGTCGCATTAATAGTGGCTGTTGCAAACCATGAAC